TATATATATATATATAATGCATAAATAGGGTCTGACAATTTTTAAAAGTTTTAGAAAATTATTTGATACCCTATTTCATTAGTTCAAGTTGACGAATAATTATAAAAACATTTGATATGTTGATTTGAATCTATATAATAAAGTATCATATAATTTTTAAAATTTAAAATTGATCTATACATTAAGAACTTTTAATTTAACTATTGAATCATTGAAATTTGATGTAGAACATGAGTTATTACGTGAAGATAGTCTACCAATAGTTACTCTAAGAGTAAATAGACTCCTTCTTGTGTGTGTATGTGTATGTATGCAAATCAATGTATTAAATGTTTTTATAATTATCCATCAATTTGAATTAATGAAACAAGTATAAAATAATTTTTAAATTTTAAAAAATTTTGTGGACTTGATTTATGCATTATGAACTTTTAATTCAATAGTTGAATCATTGAAATTTGATGTGGAACATGAGTTACTAAGTAAAGTAAGTCTACTAAGACTTACTTTTAGAGTAAGTAAATCCCTCATCTATATATACACGCACACGCGCACACATGTTCAAGTGTTTTTAAAACATGTTTTATATGCTAAATTTTATTGATGACCATGAGAATCAACTATTAAGATTTTTTCCAACTTAACCAATGATTTTGGGTTCAAATACTAGATATGTAATTATGTTAAATACACATAGAGAACTTTGTCACCCATAGTGTTCTTATTTCCTACCTAGCTCGAACATAATTGTTTTTGGCCCTACATTAAAGTCTTCTAGTAGTTTAGACCAAATTTTTTTTTTGTAAAATTTTAATTAAATAACAAATGTGTTATACTATATATGAAAATTCTCTCTATATATGTGTGTGAGTGAGAGAGAGAGAGCACATGATTAGTATGCCATTTTATTCATATTTATTAGAGAATGTAACGATCCACTATAATCACTACACTTACGGATCATTAACAAGCAACAAAAATAACTAAATTACCTAGGATTAATATGTTCACAATGCTTGGATGTGTACATTATAACACACACACACACATATATCTATATATAATTTATATTGAATATAATAAAATTAAATGATTATATGTACAATCATCCAACTATGAAATATAAATCATAAGTTGTCGATCAAGCAACTACTACCAACAACTCTCGCTAAAAGTAGCATCAAGCTACATGGCTCCATAAAACACAACATGCCTTTAGTTAACCCTGCTCCACTTTCATGTAAACATGATCATCATAGTCCAACAACCAGGAAAACATTGTAAGGGTAAGCTAGATTTTGAAAGAGATAATCATACACAAGTATAATAACTACACTGTCAACATCAACATAATAACCAATTCATCATGGAATTCAACAACCTTACCAAAGTAAGCAATTCAATTACATATGAACATTCATATATCACCTCACCAATGT